GGATCCAGGCTGCTTTCGCATTCACCCACACAGTTCTGCAAAAATAACGGTGTGTGCTGCTGAGCTGAATGCTTCTGGGGGATGGCTCCATCTCCTGATTGGACTAGGGGAATGTTGTTTTCGTTTTTCCTTTAAAGCTCTTGTTTCTAAACAGGCCCAGCCCTGCCAGCCAGGTGAGGAAAGGAATGGTGTTGCTCTGCTCTGCCTGGTGTGACCTCGAGCACTGGGGGCAGGTTGGCTGCCACAGTAAGAGAAGGTCCAAAGGAGGGCTGCAGAGATGGGGAAGGGTCTGAGGGCAAGGTCTGAGGAGCGGCTGAGGTCCCTTGGTTTCTTCAGTGTGGAGCAGAGGAGGCTGAGAGGAGGAATCATGGCAGCCTGTATCTCCCTCAGATGCTTGCAGTGTGCCATGGCCGAGCTCAGGGATCAGGCTGAGATTGAGCCTAGACAGTGGCCCAAATTCACGTGGTGATGCATGGCCTTTTTTTTTCCACTGTTCTCTTCTGGAGAGATGCTGCTTATCTTCGAGGCACTCCGTAGTAATCAGCATGCTGTAGGTTCAGAGCAGCTCTGTCTTCCAGGCGTTCTGACAGTGCTGCACAGTGCTCTCAGCCGTTTCCTTACGGTGTACACAAAACCATGCATGCTGCTTTCATCCTGGCACTGCAGGCAGATACTGCAGCAGCTTGTTGCTATTAATAGCCCTGATCTCACTGTCTCTCCGTGTTTCGGCAAGTTGTGACATTTTGGGAAGCCGAGCTGTGCAAGCAGAGCTGTGTCCCCATCACAGGGTGACGGCCACAGCCGCCTGCCTGGGGCTGCTGCCCTGAGCCTGGTGGCATGCCTTCTTCCCCTGCAAATTTAACTACGTGGCTTTGGAACCTGCATGCAAGCAGCCGAAAATAAAGCTTGGGGGGAGATCTGTCCCCAGCCATCAGGCTGCACAGCACAGACTCCTGCTGTTGCAGTTTTTTGTTGGCTGCTGCTGAGAGGCTGCCGCTCTGCTATTGGCAAAATCCGGCCAGAGGGCAACACTGGCACACCAGTAATTAGAAAGCAAACTCATTAGTTGGACATAAAGCACGGGGGAGAAGCTGAGTCAGTGGTGTCTGGAAAGTGTTGGCCAGGGATGTCCAGTCACAGCCACACGGAGCTGTGGGTTCCTATAGGAGCCCAGTTGCTCGCCCAGCAGGGTTTGGTGTGGCTGGGCTGCCGAGCTCATGCTGGCACGGGCATGTGGTGGTATGTCTGTGGTTCCCCTCCTCTTTGTCGTTTTCTGTCCCCTTGCAGCCCCAGCAGTGGATCTGGGGACTTCTGGGCTGGAGGGAGGGGGGTCTCGGGGAGCACTTTCTATTTGAAGCTGTTGCTGGTTTGAAATAGAGGGGAGGCAGCTTTCTGTGCTGCTTAAATTGAAATGAAAAGAGTCCTTCTGGCGACAGCTTTCGGTTTTTAAAGAAGTAGTTTTGAAAACGTTCTTAAAGTTCAGCTTTAGTAAAGGTTACACTGAAACGAGGTTTGAATTTAAATGTTTCAGATATCCCATGTCCTTCTCGTACTGAAATTTTCTTTTATCGTACATCTTAGTGTGCTTTCAGGATTGAATCCTTCTATTTTGTCAGCCCTTCAAGGACTTCCAAGAAAATGCTGTTTCGGAGAAGAGGGAGAAAATACAGTTATTACTGTAGTTCTTATTTAAATAATGCATGCACATATCTAAATAGCATCTCCCTCTTCTAATCCCTTCCAAACTGCCCGGTGCTTGCAGAGAGGTGATTTTTCTGTTGCAGACAAGCCCAACGTATGACTCTCTGATAATGTATTTATATGCAGCCTTGATGTGAAATGATTTTAATGCCAGACGTTTTCTGTAGGAAATGGACCCTTGCTTTGCAAACTGAGCTGATAGGTCTGTTAAAGCAAATACATTTAACTGATAGATTCCGTCCTCTGTTGATCTGATAGATGGTGTGGGCAGAGCTGGGAGATGCCAAATTTACAGTCCCAGCCACGAGGCCTCTCTGTGCCTGCAATCGATGAGGGCTGCAATGCTTTAGGTCTTAATTAACGTGCGGCACGCAGGCGGCCTTTGATGTATAGCCATGTTTTATTTATGCGGGGAGGGAAAAGCATCAGAGTGTTTCCAACTTGGTGTAAAAATAATGGTAACTGGACTGTGGAAAAAAATCCTTGCATGCCTAGGTTAAATAATAATAATGCTAATAATTCCTCCTGTTTTTTGCCTTGTGTTCTTACAGTGAAGGAAGAGGCAGGGTAACATGAGATAGTTTATTATTCATAATTGAGATCTTGTCTTGTAATTCATGGGTTTGGCATTTCTCATTAAAACTCTGAATATAGTCTTTGTGCTTTTGCTAACGTCATGAATCTGATTGTATTAATATGTTCTCAAGGCACAACCTATAAAAGCAATTTTCTAGTCTGCCATAAAATATTCATAAGAATACAGGCTTTTTTTGTTTTGATGATGCGTTCATTAACTAGAGAAGGTTTTATTGTTTTCGGGAGGGCCCCGTAGGTCAGAAGCGCTCGCAGCTTCTGTTGGGAACTCATGGCATTTCCAAGAGCTTCTTGAGACCGAAATAGCAAGAGGCCGGGATGACGCAGCTCTGCGGGGCGATGAATGGGAGCTGTGGCCACCGTGCCCCAGCTGTGTGCAGTGCCAGGCGCTTGGGAGGCCTGCATGCTGCTCCAGCTCCTGGAAACGGAGGGTTTGTTGGATCTTCCTGGGAGACTGGCTGCCTTTCTCTGCGGGTTCGGGCTCTTGTTGTGGAGTAGAGCGGGGCAATTTGTTACTGGCACAGCTTGAGCTCCCAGCTCCCATGCTCCTAGGTATGAGAGCCTGGTTTGCCGTCCCGATCGCTGCGTTTGATCCTCCTGCATTAAATTCTTGGAGTTCTCCTCCAGCACTGGGACTATGGAGTTGCATCAGACCATACTCTGGTGTGTCCAGGAGCTCTGGAAAAATATGTATAATGTGCACATTTGGACAGGGAAGAAGGCAGGCCGGGGGAAGCTGTGGGTTCATGTGTTTGTTACATCAAGATTTGCTTTCTGATCACTTGGGGTTTGATTGGGCTGCGTTAAAAAGGGGTGGTCAGCAGGGAGAGGGAGGTGATTGTCCCCCTCTGCTCGGCTCTTGTGAGGCCCCATCTGCAGCACTGCATCCAGGCCTGGGGCCCCCAGCACAGGAAGGACGTGGAGCTCTTGGAGCGGGTCCAGAGGAGGGCACTGAGATGGTCAGAGGGCTGGAGCAGCTCTCCTGTGAGGAAAGGTTGAGGGAACTGGGCTTGTTTAGCTTGGAGAAGAGAAGGCTCTGCGGAGACCTCACTGTGGCCTTCAGTACTTGAAAGGAGTGTATATACAGGAGGAGGAATGTCCACAACGAGTGTGGACAGTGACAGGACAAGGGGGAATGGTTTTAAACTGAGACAGGGAGGTTTAGGTTGGATATTAGGAGGAAGTTTTTCACACAGAGGTTGGTGATGCACTGGAACAGGTTGCCCAAGGAGGCTGTGGATGCCCCATCCCTGCAGGCATTCAAGGCCAGGCTGGATGTGGCTCTGGGCAGCCTGGTCTGCTGGTTGGTGACCCTGCACATAGCAGGGGGTTGGAACTGGATGAGCATTGTGCTCCTTTTCAACCCAGGCCGTTTATCATTCTGTGATTTGTTGGGCTGAAGTAGAGTAAAGCCCAGCTGAGTTGTTTAATTCAGTTCCATCTTCTTTTAGAGATGAGTCTGAACCTTGCTGTGAAGCTGCCACACTTGCAGAAAATGGGGCTGAAGCATGAAGTCCCCAATATTTGCTGCCAAATGAAATTGCTGCTATTCCAAGAGCAGCCACTCAGCATCTGTCACAACGTTCGGTCCTCATGTTAGTAACACTCAGAGTCTGACAGCCATAATGCTTAGATGCAGATGGTTCGGTTGGGTTTTTGAGAGCCACATCAGGCACTGCCCCACACTCTGTGCTGCCAGCCTGCCCTGTGGGCGACAGCCCTGGAGAGAGGGATGCAGGAAGGAAAACACGGGGAAGAACTCACGGTGAATAACAGCAGCACTTCCAGCAATGTGCCCTTTTATGAAAAATATTTCCACCCAAGAACAGCCTCCTCCTCCCTGCATGAGCTGAGCTCCTTTCCCTGGGCAAAGTGCAGGTGCCTGTGGGTCTCATTGCGGGCACCTCGTGCTCCTCCCAGCCCAAATCTGGCTGTGTGCTGTGGTGTTCCACGGCAAAGGTAATGCAGCAAAGCAACCATCCTCATTTTTGTTGGGCAGTGTGCAGCTGGGTCCAGGTGCCCCAGAGTGCAGTGGTTGGAAGGATGTGGGCTGCTCGCTCTGTGTGCTTTTCTCATCTCCCTGGGGAGGTGGCTGGAGTACTACCTGGTCAGGCTTAAAATGAAATAAGAGCTTAATTTCTAGGGAAATTTGCTATTCTTTGCCCGTCTCTTGGTTGTGTTTCAGCATTGTCTCCCTCAGAGTCTGAGTTAGAGGCGCGTTGAGGCACTTCCCTGTGCCCAAATATTTGCACCTCTCTGGTTGTTGCAGCAGCTAACTCTAGACTGTCACAGGAGCCCTTCATTACCCATTTGCTTTTGTTCAAGCTCCTTTCAAAAACCTGTTATGAAGGATACAGTGTGTAGTGATTTTTCTGTGTAATTTTTATTGAGAGCTTCATGTTCCTGACCGTAAGAGTCTATGAATTGATCAGCTGTAAGACAAGATGGATCTTTGCTGTGAAGTCCCAGAGTAATATTTATCCATCTAATCTCAAGTGATGCTAGAAGAGTGCAATAGGGACGTGTGTTTGAATACACAGGCTTGGAGTGATAACAAGTAGGGTCACGTGCAGTTCACTGAAGTTCTTTGCTTTGAGAAAATGCACGTATTCATAGGAGACGGTGGCTGGAGAAAAACTGCTTGAGCTCTGCCTCCCATAGTGCTTTTTTACCGCTCATCTCTCCCATGTGTTCTCCATCTGCAGTTGATGTGAGCACAGCACTGCCCTTGCAAGTTGCCCCAACCTCAGTCCCGATGGATCTGCGCCTGGACCACCAGTTCCCCATGCCCGTGACAGAGCCAACGCTCCGTGAGCAGCAGCTGCAGCAGGAGCTCCTGGCGCTGAAGCAGAAGCAGCAGATCCAGAGGCAGATCCTCATTGCTGAGTTCCAGCGGCAGCACGAGCAGCTCTCCAGGCAGCACGAGGCCCAGCTGCACGAGCACATCAAGGTAAGCGGTAGGCAGCCCTGCTGCTGATTTGGGATGGAGATGACATTTGGGGGTCTGCACGCCGCAAGGCTTTCCCAGTTCAGCTCTCAGGCTGGGTGCTTTACCTGGCTCCATCGTGCAGGACGAGAAGGAAACCTTTTTACACACGGGGTAAGTAGGAAGTGCAGTTCAGAAGATGGCTGTTGCATAGTGAAAATGTTAGACATTATATAAATATTTCACAGTGATAGACTATTGCTATGGTAACATAAGCTTTCAGAATTGCTAATAGGCTCCCTTTTCAAAGGGGGATTAGCATGGCACATGGTAAATAGTGTTAATGTAATATTAAAAAGCAACCTCAATTCAACCTTATATAACTTTCATTTTAATATAAAGTATATGTCAGAGTAGGGAAGATAGGATTAAAAGTTAATGTTGCATTATTTACAGACTTTTCAAGCACAGTTATTAGCCTGGCTTTGCGAGAATAGTGGCTGTTTGAAAGTAGATTGATTAACAGCAAATGCCTTTGTCCTTAGTGGGTCCTGCCTGTAACCTGCTGTCTTTGGGACAAAGGTGTGGGGAGATGCATGTGTATATACACTGATATACATGCATGTGCACATGTTCGTATGCAGAGATGTGTGTGGGTGTGTGTATAGTTGTGTGTGTGTACATGTGTGCCTCTGTGTAAGCTGATTTGGGTAAAAGTCTGCATTAGAAGAAAATCAAGATCAAATTTTAAGAAGCCAGTTCTCATGGTATATCTAGACCATTAAGTAATGAAGGTCTTCCTCTAGTCTATAAGGCTGGCTGGATAAAAACTTAAAATAGAAATGAAGTAATCCTGTACGAAAAAGGATGATGACCTATAAGGCCATCTCCTGTAGCAAGTGTGTCATCTTGCCCAGAATTTCTCTTAAAATGAAATGGCAAGTTATAATTAAATAAATCAATCCCACAGTATCTCACAAAGAAAACAAACCCCGAACCAAGCAGTGAGTAATTAGGAATGTAAGTTTTTTGTGAGAGCAGACTTCTTGTGTTTGTGATCATCAGTCAGCATTTGGATGCTAGATTCACCAGTTTTTTGGTTACTGAGTTTCAGAGGCTGACAACTGCACTTGGTGCAGTGGCTGTAAGTGCAGGGAATCTGTTAGTTTGTCTGGAGAAATTAAACTTACAACCACATATTTGAAGTCTGAACTCAGATCTGTTCAGCTGCTTTATGGCTCATGAAAAACAACATGGGAGGGGAGAGAATATTAAAGGAAAGAAATAAAAATCTGAGCATAAGGGGTTGAAATGTGAAATATGGTATAGAAGCGGCTCTGAATGAAGATGGAAAGCTTTTTTATGGAGGAATTCATGTGCTTTTGGAAAATGGTGCATACATACTGCACTGCTCCAAGCATGCAAGGGGAGGACTGACTCTACATTGAGTCAAGAGAACTTCCCACTGCTTTTATCCTCCTCTTTGCTGTTGATTTGCTGCCTTGGGAGTGCACGGCACTCCTAAGGTCATTAGGACATAAGTGCTGGCACACGTGAAGATGGTGGGTCTAAAGAATTGTTGCAGAGCAGTTCTGATCCATTGTATTCTTAACAGAAACACAAGGCAGGGATGCAGTTCATGATCTTTTCTGTTCACTCCAACGCTGAGTCTTTAGATTAACTGTGAGAAGGAAACAGCAAATCCCTGACACTCAGAATTAGATGATTGGTTTATGTTGTCACTGATGAGATTAAGAATTTCATTAGTCTCTTGTCTCCAAAGCAAACTGTTCAGTATGCAGGAATAATTCAGACTGAGTGATATAGTTATGAGATTCTTCAACTGAAAATGTTGTTTTGTAGCCTGAGTAGTTTACAGCATTGCAATGAAGGTGTCTATCACTCCCATTAATAAATTTATATTCCCAGTTTCCTCTTCTGGCAGACGTGTAGCCTGCCTGAAGACTGCAGGAGAGCCTGAGCTTGCCCGATTTCTGTTAAGATTGCATGTTAAGACTGGCAACTAGAGTGGACTTGCAGTGTGCCTTTCTGCAGCATCACTTTTAGTTGTTAGATGTTTTCAGCTTCCCTCCAGATGTTGGGGGGTTTTTTTGATGCAGAAAGCAACCCTTCAGCAGCTACTGCAAGGTAATTGCATACCTTGCAAGCTTGCATGCTTTCAAAAAAAATAATAGTGGCTCCTGCAGATTAGCTAGAACTTTCAATGTCAGAACAACCTCAAAATGTATTGAAACAGATCAAAACATTAAAATAAAAACATAAAAGTTCAAACCTTACAGTCGTATCAAACAAAATGGCAGTTCTTTGACTTTCTCTCTGACATTGGTTTCCTTGGAAATGGTCAGGACCTTTGTTATTCATGCTGTTGAATTCTGAAATTGCTTTGTTGTAGGCTATTTCCACAAAGAGAGGAGAGTACTGCACCTTCCTGTGTTTTGCATATCTTGACAATGCTATTTAGAATGTATTAATTTGGCTTTTCTCATTGCTGCCTAGCATCCAGCATTTTAACCAACGAGAGCGAAGGCAGGGCTTTATGTGCTTTACCCTGTCTTGTGCCTGTTTCTGAAACTTCATGCCTACAGTTTCTAGATTGTAGGTGTATATTTTGGTATGGTGGGGCAGCCTCTGGGTGCAGCTGCATACACAGAGCAAATACTGCGTTGGGCCTCCCATTTGGCAAGGTGTTTGGATTAAATACCTTTGCACTCTTTCACTTGTAGATGTTGAATAGTTTTTTCAACAGGAAAGCACTGGCTGGGCGTCTGCTCTGAAGATTGTCACACACCAGGGTATAGAGGTGAAGATAAGAATGGTTTTGATTCATTTCTTTAGCAGCTCTTGTATCCAGAGGAGGTGGAATTTCTGTTTAGCATTTTCGAGTTACAGCAAGCAGCGTTGAGATTTTAAAGCTCTTCTTTGTTGAACGTGTTAAACTCTCAGCTAATACAGTTGCAGTTGTGGTTTGTGTTTGTTTTCTTTCTTTTTAATACCATGTTGTTGGTCTGAGCAGAGAAACTTCTGATTCAAGAGAAGGCTCAGGGAGTGGGGCAGTATCTCTCCCTCCCTCTGTCCCAGCCAAAGCAGTACTATAAGAAACATCTTAAATTCTTTTTAAGTCAATTAAATTTGGCTTGAGAAATGCTGGCATGTTTTTCTGCATTTCTATTCCAGTAGATAACTTAATCTGAAGTTTTGGTATTTTCCAGAACTTGGTTTTATTCCAGCAGCCCAGCTTTAATTGTCTGATCTAGAGCAGGAGCAGGCGGGTGACCACTGTCCCCTGTCCCCCCATCAGTCCCTGCTATCACAGATACTCAGCTGCTCGCATTGGAGTAGAAATAGTGTTTGGGAAAAAATGGTTTTCATGCAAAAGGGGGCACATTCCGGAAGATGGTGCAATCTGGAGGAGCAGGCTGAGAGCAAAATGATGTTTGTGGAAGGAAAGGCTATAATGGAACGTAGCTGCAGCTCGATGTGTTGAGGGAGCGGGATCGTGGCGCACAGGGAGGAATGAGAAAAGTCTGACTTGTTTAGGGAAAATTAGCTGAGCCTTCTGAAGACTTCACACCATATGGAAATACAGAAAACTGTCTTTCACAACTACAGTGCAACTTTGTAAATTGCTGCAACTTGACATCTGAAAGCGGAGCAAGATGGGAGCCGGGGCTGCAGCGGCTGGCTGGAGGGATGGACAGGAGCTCGGCTCCAGCACGGCCGCTCACCTTTGGTGAAGCAGATTTTCCACGGAGACGTGCCTCTCCAGATGTGCAGCAGTGCTTATAGCCTTCCAATCTGCCTTCTGAAATAAAAACAAGGATGGAACAAGGAGCCCGGCGCCCAGGCTGTTGCCGGTGAGACTGTGGAAAGGCTCTCTGCAGGTTCCAGCGTGAGCTCGGCCTGACCTTTGATTGTGAAGCCACCGGCAGGGAATATTTTCCTTTCTGAGTCACTGATTCCCAGCCAAGATCAGCTGGAAGTTACCAAAAGCTTTTCCATTTGCCTTTTGGTCAAGGGCTGGAGCTAGACGATCGAAGAGGGGCAGGACGTGTGCTTTGGCAGTGCTGGAGGCATCTGGGGCAGCGTGAGCTCCACAGATCAGTGAGATGCCTGGTGGGTGATGCAGCTCATCTCTGCCTTTGCACTGCTCGAGGTTGGAGCAGGGCTCGGAGGAGCTCTGGCTGTTTTATAGCCAGAGCTGGAAAATTTTTCAGGATGCTGACGCACATCAGCGTTAGCACATGGCAGCAGGCTGCAAAGTGTGCTGATGGAGATGGGACGGCTGCAGGCAAGCAGCTAAGGCTCACAGTTCCTCGTGAAACTCAAATCTTAACCTGGAGGCAGGCAGTGGTGTTAATGCTGCCATGCGACTCCTCATTTTTTTTCTGGCATCAGGTAACAAAGTATTAGAGTGCATATTAGAGCACTGTGCTGTTTGTGTGTGTATAGGGCAGAGAAGTGCACGTATAGGGTGGTCAGAGACATTGTGGGTTCATGCATAAGAAGTGACAGCACTGTGCATAGGAGGGAGCTCTGTAACAGCGTTCACCAAGGAGTGATGCTGGAATTGTTTTGATTTTTTTTATTAACACAGAAATTTCATACTTTCAGCAGAATGCTTGTGCTGCTGAGTGGCCTCGTGCCAATAAATAAAAATATGTGGAATGTTTTCAGACATTGGCTTTATATATAGCAACATTCAGATAAAACACAGGGAGATGGATTTGTTTTTGCTGTTTTCAAATGATGTGTTTTCCATTAGCACGACTTCTGGGCTGATGGAGGGGAGATAACAAATCTATGCTGGCAGTACCTGAGTTGATTATTCAGAGACATGGGGAGGAGCTCTCCAGCCATTCCTTACTTTTGTTTGAGGGTAGAAGTCTTCCAGGGAATCTGAAATTCCAATAAAATGGAATTTCTTTCCAAAGATATCTGGAGTTTGTATCACGTTGATGTTGAAGTGAGAAGCTGCTCTTTGCTTTCATTTGGTGACAGCTGCC